GCCACCTCTTTATCACAGCAGTGAAGCGGGACAGTGTGTCTACAGGCTGAAGCTCCATAAAACTCGCCTCTACGAAAGACGCACCGACCGACGAACTTTGCCACGTGCGACTTCGGGACGTTCACTCGGGAACGCCGCTAAGAAGCAGGCGCATTGCATTCGGACGCAAATGCGTCATCACGTCTGCTTAAAAAACAACTAAAGATCAGGCTAAAGAACGGTGGTAACAAGTGACTGAAAGCAGAAGGCTGTGTTGTGCCTTGGAACGAATCTTCACTTCAAGTTTTCCGACTGAAAATGTGAACGCACTTCTCGTAACGGCCATGCATGCTACATTTTCCGTCGAAACGTCCTTTCCCCTAAGCAGTGGGTGGCACTGCCGCCTCCCTCTTCAGGGCCGTAGCTGATAAATGCATACTGAACGTTTCAAGAACGCGCACGAAACATCTCGGCTCCGATTGCCCTTTGCCAGGCTGTAGTGAATGTTACAAACGACTTAGTACGTGTCACCTTCGGGTTCCTTTAGTGCGATGGACTTATTGACCAGCTGAGCTACTATCAGCTCTTCAAGAAGCCCGCTGCTAGCTACGGTGCGCTGTCAGAGTTCCGAGGGCTCTTGCGTTACATTTCACGACGAGGAGCTGACTTCGTAAGACGCGCGGTTTCTCTTCGCGGTGTTGGAGAACGCACAGCGAAGTGGAGGACAGTGGAGTACGCCGCTTTCACTCCCCCCCACCCTCCTTGAAGGTTGACGAAAGAAACACAAGCAGGCCCGTTCTTATTTCATGCTGCACGAAGCGGCGAGAAATGCTTGCAAAATTTTAGACGGAGAAACTGAAGCCACACAACAAAATGACGGAGGCCGCCCGCAGATCGCTTCTGACATGAAAAGCTCTCGCGATCGCCAAGCACCGAGACGACAGAGAGAATGAGCCAAGCCGGAGACGCACGACCCTCGCCACACAAAATTCAAAGTCGGCAGTTGATAGAACGTCGTTAGGTCTCTGAACCGAGGCTGTGCGTTTGGGCGAGGCAACGAACCTGACCTTGGCGCCGTCACACGGATTCTGAGATTTCGCGTTCTTAAAACGGGGAGCATGAAGATTTCGGCGCAGTCAGAGGCGACTCATCAGGGCGATGACGGAGGCAGCAAGCAGGAGAAGACAGCCATCTTCGTAAAAACTGTATCTGAGGCCACGGCTTTGTTTTCGTCAGCCTGAAAACGTCACGGCGTCGTAGGGACGCTAGCCGTCGGTCAAGTGCGTCATTCATTGTCTTCACGAACGGAATAAGTCGCCGTTGCAGTCAACAAGTTCGTCCGGCCGTCCGACGCGGTGCAGGCCGCTTGTTTCCCAGCTTACTAATGGTGGCAGCACTTTTCGTTACGCTCTTTACAATTTACGTTTGCAGACACATGGGGGGGGGGGGCAAGAGAGTATTGGCCCCCCGGAGCCATATTCGTACTCAGGCGGTGCAAATGATGTGACAAACGAGGTCGTTACGACCGACTCAATACAATCGTGTTTAGCGACTGCGTGTTTGTGGTAGTGCAGCCCTCCAGCAACAGAGCGAGCAGGTTTACGCTGCGTCACGCGTCAACAACAATTGAACGAGCGATGACGTCAAGAGCAGGCAATTATGACGCCACACGACTGTCGCTCGTCCGTTCTTACGCCTCGGGCGTCGCTTCGAAAAGTGCAACTCAACAAGCGAAAGGTCACGCCATTATTTAAAATTGTGCCTTCGCATTTACGTAAACGTTCGCGTGCAGCGTTAATTAATGCGGGGCGACGCATTAAGCTCACTTTTGTCACGGAAAATAATCTCTTCCACGTCAATCCAATGTTTTGCAGGTCGTCGCAGTGTTCTTGAGTCACACACGCACTGAGAAGTGCGTAATGGTAGTAGCTGACCTTCGAGCGAAGAAGAAATCAGCGCTTCTCAACATTGGCTCGCGTACCACCGGTGGTACGCGAGCCAAGTAAGAAAATCATAAGATAATAATGTATTAACACAAATAAGTTTTCCCTGAACGAAATTGGTTGGGAATTCGAAATGTCACCCCCACCACCACAAGGCACCATCTGCCCCGACCCACGTGCCGCGTTTAGTGCGATGGAGCGTCTAAAGGCGTCAACATCGCAAAAGACGCCACAATCACCCACAGCGAATTCAGAATTAAAATTATGCACGACGGTATTTGACTTACTTCGTGAGGCTCTGAGCAGACCGCGGACTCGCCGCAACCGGCGACTGGTATCGCCCGGGGGGTCAGCCGACATTTTCTGCGCAGTCCCTGTCCGGAGACAGCGCCTGCCAACAACCCTCGCTTCACGTCGAGGGGCCGCTGTTAAGCCTCAGCCTCTCTCAGTGTACGGACTTACTTCATACTGCGAGAGGGTAGCAACGCATTCTCGGCGGCGAAACGGAACTGGCAATGTTCAAATGTCTGTCTTTATCGTCAAGAAATACAAACGTTTGAAGCAAAGAAAATGTTAAGCAGATGCAGTGGTTTCGCCGACAGCAACGCAGACCTCAAGACCGAAAATCTGTCAACAGTGTTACCATGGTAACGGTTATGCATAAACACACATACTCGTAGAAGTCGTCATTTACAATTTAATGGTTTGCTGTGCAACAGTCAGCGTGGCTTCCAAATAAAATGCGAGAAACGCCGTGATCCTTCGGGTTCTAGGAACACCTCCGCCTGACCTCTGGATGGGTCAATTGGTCCGATTGAACTGCGCTGGCGCGGTGCGCGACAGACGACGCAATGACCTCGTTCAGAGCGAATCTACTTTCGGGGTGCTTCGTCGCGTTCCTGAGAACCAGCGACGTGGGCAGCCACCCACGTCTTCTTCGTTTCTCGTTTCATTCAGAGATGGCAGCTGCTGAGGCTTCCATGAAATCAGGTCAGAACGACTTGCAACGAAGTAGAAATGGCCTAGTTTCCGCACTTCCACGCCATCAGACGAGTCCATGTGGTCCATATCTGGGTCGCGTGACTGACGCATAGCAAATGCACTGCGAAACGCATAAATTACATTCAGAAGACGATGGCTTATGCGCTGTTGCGCCACGTGGTCTGTCATCACGGCGACGATGACAGAGGCAGAAAGCATCTCTGAAACGTCGGCAGGCTTCTACCAGACAGTGCATGAGCCAAGAAGAAGACAGTAATCTTCGTGCTGGCCGCCGTGAGAACCTCCCGAGGGGGGCGTGGCGTGACCTAACCTAATTTGAGGATGCACCCCGTCGACGAGAGACGACACGGGGGAATCGACTATCATTCTTTTTAAACTTTTTCAGGGAAGACTGTGCTTCATAAAAAAATTCCGCGTTTCCGTTTTCGGAATAAGCGCGAAGTTCTTTCGTATTCGCTGCGTATTCCCTGGCAGAGAACGAACGCCGATTTCATGGTCCCCGCAGTGGAATGCCCTCTTCGAAACTGTGCCACTTCGGTCGGAAACTTCTTCTGCACTGACCGTCGCGGCAGTTCAGTGCCTTCAGAGAATCGTTTCTTGTAACGAGGCTTACCACGTGGTCACGACAACATCGCAGCCTTCAACCCTGAAACCCACTTCAGATCGCGCGAAGACCGAGGATCACGAACGCGAGTTTCGAAGTTACGTCGAATTTTCTTTTCTGGGTTGTTAGAGAGAGTAAGCTCCGTTCTCGAAACGCCCACTTGAGACGCGGACACGAGGCTTAAGATCGGTCATCATTCTGAGGTGAGAATGCCGTGAATCTGAAGGAATGTAAACTTAAATTCAATGAACATCCAGTACCACATTCAACCCACGCCCGACCAGCAGTTTCTGAAATGAAACACCCGTCCGACAGACGCGACGGTCGCATCAACAGTTCACTGAAGAACTCTACCCAAAGGACGCACACAAACAAAGACCAGTCCAGATCCTAGATTTCCCGCATGTCGGATGCCGTGACTCGGTCTGCGCGGGTTCGTTTGAGGAAACCGGGCGGGCGCAACCAGTCGCGAGGAGTTACTCCGTTGTCATCCGTCTAAAGGAAGACCCGCGGATTTCAGAATGAGGGCTGTGGTTTCGTGGCTCAACTACGCTGTATCAACTGGGAATGAAGTGGGAAGTATTGAAGGGGAAGGGGCTGCTGTCTTGTCTTCGCGAGGACTGGCAAAACCGGTCGTTTCCCAGGCCCGAGCGTCAGCTTCGGCTTGAACTTTCCGGTTTGAAACACGAAGTGCAAGGATTCTGCTGCACGCGGAATAATCGGCGTCGGATGTGCCAGATCTACTTCGAGCGATAATCGTGTCGCCTGCCGCACGCACAAACAGCCAGACGCATCAACTGGACACACGCGACAAGTGACGTTCAGAAACTGACAGTCGCTCAGAGAGTCACAAGATTCGTGATTGATTATGAAACCCCGTGATCACAAGCGTCACATGACACTAAGAAGATCTCCTCCCGCCCGCGAGTGAATCTGCCAAGCGCTCTCGTGCCTTCTTCAGCCTCTCCTGCTAAAAACCCTCTGTCGTCGCCTTTCGCCCTGGAAAGCTGTTGCGGTTCCTTCCGAAGTGCTCACATTCGACGCAGCGGAGACAGGCTTAAAAGTTTCGCAAGAACAAACAGTCGACACGAAACGTTTCCAATTTCCTCGCCAACTTAAAAACTTTTTAAATAAAAAAAAATCACCTCTCCATGACCGTTTGTTCGAATCCCAGACAGGCCATGAATATGTTTGCGTTGTTCATGGACAGCTGAAGAGGTCAGTCAGCTGTGTTGAACGACCAGGGTTGGGATTTTCGTGAGCCCATTAGATGACGATGGCGTGGAGCTCGGTTACACACGGGACGGGGGGGAAGGGACGATCTCACCTTCGCCTCCGCAAAGTGAAACCAACAGAGGAGGGGGAACTTCTCTGACAGAGAGAGATACTTCCGGTGAATCCAACCCCCAAACCTCCCACGTGAGTGGCCCCCTACTCCTTCGTCCGACTCGGTCTATATATGAGAGGGCCTGCAGCAAACCGCGAGCGTGGTGATGCTGTGTCAGTGCTCGAGTGACGTCCAGCAGCGCGTAGTCTGAGTTGTGCGGTGTGCTTCGGGATGGGCGATGCAAAGAAGTAGATAAACAGGCGTGAACACATTCGTGCACATGCGCACAAGTGGACATGAAGAGCTGACCGACAGCAGGACCGAAGCATTTCGTTTATTTTAGGTAAGGCGCTAAAAAGACAGACAGACTGACGAAGTTTAACGTAACTGTCACCCCTCGGCTCCGGGCACGAACTGCTGTAATATCTCTTATCGGGGAACCTTGTCGCTCCTGGCGGTGAGTCATGCAGATCCAGCCGGGACGCGACAGAGTTGCGTTAAACTTTATCGGCGAACGCATTTCGTTATGGTCTAATTTCCTGCTGTTTACAAATTTTAAAGTTTTTCACGAGCTTTATGAACATTGGGGAGGGGGAGGGGAGCTATAAAAATTTCCCCTCTGGCTCCGTACAGCAAATCGAGACACCAAATTTCATAACAATCTGTGAAGGGTTTTCGGACACGAAACACGCGGAAGGGCGAACAAACTGACGGCCGATACGACCTCTCCATTAACGTTCATCAACGCTGAACAGACGCAAGGTCTCCAAAGATCACCAAAGCACTGACGGATACGACGACACGACTTGGTGGCCAGACCTTCGTTTGCAGCAGTGGAGTGAGATGTGATCACGTGACCGTTAACCCATCTCGGTTGTCATAACCTTCACTAGTTTTCGCGGTGGTCCTCAGTCTCTCCGTCATCTCGACTGCTCACTGATCGAACAATGAGGTCTCCGATTCAAATTCCGCTAAGGGCACGAATTTCCGTCCCTTTCTTGTGCTGTATTCTAATGAGGACACCGACAGAAGTTAGTGAGGTTAGGTTTTCCTCAGCCACCCGCAGAATTCAGAGGGAGCGCAACACAAACTCAGCCTAACCTAACCTTGGGCCCAGGGCCGGTGGGTCACGAGGTACGCCCTTCAATTAATTTTGTGGTGCAGAACGAGAGAAGGAAGTTCACGCGTTATTTCGGAGAGAGAATGGTCGTGTAGAAGGCAGAGTCGATCGGTCAGTCCGTCCGTACACAGAAAACTCTACAGCGAGTGCGCATTAAACAGATGTTCGTTACATCTGATGGGCCTAATGTCTGTCGACACAATCAGATTTTATTTTAAAATCGACCACCAGCAGCGTGCACTTTGCATGCGTTTCTGGACGCCGA